TCTGATTATAAATAAAATTGCATAGGAAAAAAAAAGAAATACAATGAAAAATTATACAATCTTACTTGAGAAAAACAAAATTATTTGATGACCAATCAAGAACAGTTTCGAAAAAGAACTAAACAAATAAATAAGGACATATTAACAAAAACTATCATCATCCTTTTCGATGAATTGATTCAAATTACTCATTTCATTTACATCTATGGGCAAAAGTCTTTTTGTATCACACTTCATTGCTCTCAAATGAATATTGATTACCAAAATGGCTTAAATACTGTATTTTAATTTAGTGTATGATTGGCTATGACCTGCTGCAATGAAGAATGTACGTCATTCAATACAATTCACCAACACCTTGCATGAGTCAGTTGATAGCACATTTCATGGCTGGATTATCTCCTTTTGTTCTGATATTTTCTCAATATTTTACTATTTTTACTTCATCTGTATTTGTATAATAGACTAATTCACATTCTCAGAAAAGCTTCGAGTTAGCGACGAAGATAATTTATTGATCTAAATCAATAAAACAACTAGCGGATACAAAAACAAAAGGTTAATCCACTAATGAAGCATTCTGTCAACCAATTTATATGTAGTATTGCTCAATTGTATTGAAAGACGCATGTTCTTCATTGGAGTAAATCGTCATGAATTAGACACTACACTATGACAAAGCACTTAAGCCATCTTTGTAACGAGCATTCATTTGAAACTAAAGGGATTCTATACGAAAAGAAGAGAAAAAAAAAACAAGGAAGACTTATGCTCTGGGATGTAATGCATCAAAATGTTTTCGAGATATACAATGAGCACAAACAAAAATTAGTCCCAGAATACTCAATTTATATAAACCGATCTACTTCCTACTCTGAAAAAACTGTTCTTTTCATATTACTTATTAGTTAGAACGATAGAAAAAGAATCGAATAGAAGCACTTTCTAGGTATTAAAAAATGCTACCAACCAGTATGAAGTGAATAAATACTAAATCACTTCATGAGATTTACATTGATTTTCTTAATATTGTACGCTTTTAAAAATTCAGCTGTTTGAGCCTTAAATTTCAGAGCCTTCAGAAAATAAAATATGACAACAGGTGTGGATGTTGCTTTGGCTGAGGAACTGTTGTGTGTCAACACCTCAGCACATGCTAAATTCATCCACCTTCGATGCTTCTTCACGGTATTTTTAAAATAATATGGTCTGCGACGACTTATTCCACCATTTATCGTCTGAGTTCGAATTTTCTTTATTTTAATAGAAGATAATTCATTTGAAAGCTAAGTTTCATCCAAAGTTTTGTTTTCAATTCAGTTGATGCAAACCAAGAGAAAAAGTACCTTGTAGATTACTCAAAAATGTCTCCAATTTATAAAATAAAATAGCGTAGAAAATCTATCCGTTTAAACATGTTGAGTATTCTTCGATTAAATTTTTCCTCTTATCTTTCTACAGAAAACCGTTCGATACACTTTTTCAACGGAATGTAATACTGCCTCGTTTGGGAAAAGAATCAAGTCGACACACAGGAAAGAAAAAAAATTATAGTAAAAAATCCTATGCAAGTCATTATTAATGGCTCACCTATGACATGGTCAAAGAGTTTCATAGGATAAGGAATCTTATATATGACTTGTCGAGCGAATTCAAAGTTATCTACTAAACACAAATGTTAATAAACATTGAAGCCGACAGCAACCTTCATTTGCCTTCTCAACATAGTTTTTTGTTAGAGCCTATGGCAAGTAAAATATTCATTAGTATAAATAAGATCGGAAGACATGTCTAATGCACTTTTCTTCATGAGATATCATGATAAGTGTCAAACAACATCCTTTTTTTTTGCATGACGATAATCATTTTGATACTGCATGATATCTAACAAACGAGATTGGATATTTTTAATTAGTATGATGGCGCTGTCATTATCTTTTCACATTTTTTATCCGAAAGAAAGTTGTCTATGTGTCAACTTACATTTTCTACTTGGTTATCAGGTAACTTCATTGAATTAAAAAACCATCGAACCGTCCAACGAGCAAGTGGAGAACTTGTATTTGCAAATAAACGTTGTAACAAAATAAATAACCATGTTAATGATAATCCTAAAAGAAAAACCAAATTTAATTTAAATATATACACAAAAAAAGCACCAAAGAGTACCATATTCAAGAGAAAAATTTAAAAGTCGATCAAATTTTGTCAACAATGGTTTAATCAAATGAACAACACCATCTTCAAGTGCTTCATAAAGAACAATAAAATCAATCCAAAATTGTTTTGTTTTCTCATCAATTAAAATTAATAATCGATTAAATTTTTCTTCCTTGATTTCAATATGTTTAAATTCATCATTAGTTAATATTTGTTGAAATAAATAGATAGCACATTTACGTATACGATCATTATTTGATGTACTATCACCTAATGAACGTTGTATTAAATACCAAAATGATGGCATTAAAACAAAGACGTTTGTTGAACGTAAATCAATTAATAAAAAAAGAAATAATTCATCATTTGTTTGTATTATTGGTAATGTGCGTACAAGAATTTGTTCTAGATTTGTTTGATAATTTTTAGAAAAAAAACGCCAAATATAAGTAAGAAATTTAGGATCATGTTGATAATGCATTGCAGTTTCTAAATGTGTCCAATCAAAATCTAATGATAAAGAAGTAGAATATTCAATACTATTGAGTAATTTGCATAGAAGTTCACGTAATTGAACTGTTTGTTCATTATCAAGAATTAATAGAAGAATAGTTTTTATACGTTGAAGACGATCTTCTATTTTCATGAAATTCAAACATGAAGATAATAAACAATATTGATGAATTGTTGGTAAATTTTGTAATAAATAATCAAAAAGTTGACTAGCAATTGATATTGAATCAAGATTTATATTAGTTGGTAAAGCATCTAGAAGTCGGCTAAGTTCTTCAATTTCTTTTTCTTGTTTACTTGATTCATTTTGGTAAGTAAGAATATTTGACATAGATATTGAGATATGATGTGATACATTATCACGATTAAGAAATGATACTAAAAGTTCCATTGTATCTGAAGAAAATCAAAAGGTATTTTATTTTGAAATTTTATTCAAAATTTCTAATAGAAATTCGAAACAATATTTTTCTTAGTAAGACTTCATAGATGAACTGTGATGGTTAGGTTTGTAAGAAACTGGTCATGGTAGGTTTCAGATCTTATAAGTTATTTTTGTTAACAATGCCATTTTAAAGAGAACAAAATGAGGAGTCGTCATATTTTCTATGACTGACTCTTAAAAAGGTTAAAAGTATCACAAAAATGAAATATCAAAAATTCGATTGAAAAACGCTTTTTTTTCAATTTTTGTCATACCTGTAAGTTTTTAAAGAGTGATTGCGTAGAAAATTCAACGACCTCTTATTTTCGTCTCTTTAAAATACTATTGAGCATAAATAGTTTCGAGGATTTGAAAACTACTGCATCCAATTTTTTTAAAATCTTGTCATCATAGTTCAACTATGAAGTCTAAGTAAAAGAAGACTACATTAACTATTAAAATCACTATTTGGATTTCAACTAATTACTTAATGTTCTAGCAAAAAAAAACAATCAAAACTACTTTGTTATTAAACTTTTTTCTGCCATCAAAACAAGATAAAATAAAAGTAATTTTTATTGTTTTTGTTTGTGCATAAATTAATACATTGGCCACCAAACTATGAATTTAATGCGATTGTAATCTCTCAAATTAATAAAACATCCGAAATGAACTAATGAAGCAAGTATGTATAAGAAACAATATTGAAAATCTAAAACAAATTAAAAAAAATCTTCAATGATAAATTTGATAAGAATATTAAAAAAAAATATAGTTCGTAGTTTCGTCTGGAATTAAAATATATAAGCAAGAGAAAGACGACAACTGTTCAGTGATACTACAACAAATAAGCCGAGTTCTTTTTCTATTTTTCAGAGTATATTCAGGGTATTTTATCTCTTTTTTCAATAAAATTCAAACCACAATACTTTTTCAAATTCGTAAGTACCTTCGGTACTTGAAACTAGAACACTGTATACAATTTAATTCATCTTTGTATTTGAACCTCTTTTCTATCCAATCATTACAGAATACGTAGATGACGCTTGTTCCATTGTACTAATGTCGACACACTTTTGATGGACTTATAATTTTAGAATATACACTGAAGCGGCTATAGCAACTATTTAATTTTTTAACATCTTTATAAACGAAAATAATTAAAAATTATAATAAAGAAATGAAATATGACACAGAAATGGATTGATAAACTGCCAATACAATGATTTTTGCGCGACTAGGAAAAACTCAAGATGGTTTGCACACTGCTTCTATTCAGGTGTATGTTATTTCTTTACGTTGTAGAAGAATATAATACAGGTAACCACTTCGTCGTTTATTTGACATGGAGCATTTCATAGTAACTATATCATAAAATTAAATAACGTTGATAGCGTAGTTTATAGATTTTCAAGTTTTAGAATAAGTTCTGTTTGACACACTGCTATTCATCTCATTCATTTTATTCATCATGTTCGTACAAGTGAAATATATAATCATCTTAGCTTTTTTTAGTACTATATCTGTTAGCCGCATATCATTGTCAAAGTAAATAATGGTTTTTGACATTCATTTTTTGTATAAGATTCTTGTAAGGCTGTGCACGGCTTATTTTTTTATTTTCATGTACACTTTCACTGTGTGCGCTTATGGTTTCACAAATCAAGCATGCGTACACCTTCTCATTTCCACAAGCATGAATATTAGACTTTTCTTTTTATCCTGCCACCATAATTGACAAATAGTATAATTTCAAAACAAACTGAAATAGGTATTCGAGATATAAAAATATATTAAATGTCATTGTTTTTTTTCCTAATTTACTCGTTAGTGTCATTCTTTGAAAAAATACGAAATCGATTTCAGATATTTATTCTATAACATTATTCTTATATATAATCTAATGGCAGATAGCAAATTAAATTCAATTAATCAAATAATGGATATTGATGGTTCGATCTCTGTGAATACATTTTCGCATCATGTTCTGTAAATATTATTTATCATTTATTTTTAATATGAACTTGATTTTCTTGTTCCTATTTTTAGAACTACTTATCCAGATGTTTTTCCATGTAAAACTTTAATTGATGCAATCAGATATATTCTTTGTAATAATTCATTCCAAGGAAGTAATGCAACATTAACTGAGGTTCAAGAGCAAATCTTCGAAATTATTGAAAAGTTAAATACACTTCCACAAATAATGTTCGAATATTTACGCAAACATTTCGCAAAACATTTTGATATTGATCTATACATTATTGCTTTTATAAATGAAAAATTTTCTATAATCCATGATGATAATTATGATAAAGCAAATATAGCTTATTTACAACTCAATAAAGATAATACAGTTCAGGGACCTTTATACATCAAAAAAGTTAATGGTAATAACGAGACCGTCTTCTCCAAAGACGATCATTGCGTTCTTTTAGATATGTACATATATGTGGCTCGTCTCAATGACATCAGTAAATTTTTGTTCGAATATCTTAGCTGAAAATGTTAGTTTTTTATTAGAACCGTCAAATGATATCCCTCAAATACAAGAACAACAAGCTGTCCATTGTATGCAGGAACTTATTGAAAGTATGAATTAATCATAAAAATAAAACCATAATCATTCGTCATTGGTTTAGATTCATCAATGGATGATACATCAAATTTGCCAAATCAAATAGATCTCTGTAAGTATTAAAACAATTCGAATAATTTCTAATTTTATTATTATTATTATTATTATTGCTGCTGATTTTGTTCAAGTAGATGCTAAGAGTCAATCTCGTATTTTACTTGATCAAATGTTACATCAAATTTTTCAATTAACTGATGCACTTCCAATAGAGGCTCATATAATGAATGAAACTTGTCAACAATTCGGTAAGATGCTTAACGAAAGAAGTCCTCTCATTGATTAATTTATTTTGGACTGACATTATGTGCATTATGTAGATGAAAATGAGCTATGACTTCGCTGAAAAGAGTTTGTGTCCCTAGCTAATTGCTACGGAAACACAGCTATTTTATAATATATTTCAAATGAGTGCCATGGTATCCTTGAGGAACAAGACAAAAACTGATTTTCGACTTGAAAATTTGCATAGAGACAGGTCTTAGCGAGAGTAGCTTTTGTGAGAGTTTCAAATCTTTTGATTTGCTTCTACCTTGAAATAAGAAGATCAAATCTGTTGATTGTATGAGTCATAGAACTTATTGAGACCAAGATTTTCAGACCTGGTTTGGACGCTTTAGGAACCCGGGTCTGGCTGATTGACGGTTTTTAAATCCAGTTGAGCCATATTTTGATATTCTCAATGAATTTTTTTAATTGACATTGAATAGTTGTTCCGACAATACGAAAATTTTTTTCGGCTTTTTGTATAGGGTAACTAGTGCTTCCTACACATTTCTCGGCCCAAGTAGAGTCGGTCGAGCCCTAAATTTTCGAACGTGGATCAGTTAATAGAAAAATTTCAGATCCAGACCCGACCAGGTGAAGATATAGGATTAACCCAACGAGTTATAGTTAACGATATACAAAACACACTATTACTATAGTTGTATCTTAGGACATAAACAGCGACAAGATCTGAAACATTCACAATAAAATACTCCTGTTAAGGCTTGTTTCTATACAAAGTTTCAAGTCGGAAGTCAGCAATCAATTTTTTTGGTGCTTCTAAGAAAGATGACAACAACCATCTAAAACATACGATGCAAGCATAGTATGTCTACAACAATCATCTATGAATACGAATTCTCTTCAAGATATTCATAGGTCATTTGAACCTGTATAATGCACATGTTCTTGACTTCAAAGCAATTTATCAGTTAGAAGACTTCCCGTGTGATTTGTAAGAGACAATGTTTTTGTCATACACCATGTTCTTTTAGTTTCACAAAATATTTCATATAATCATTTGTCTCTTCAAGAGACGATTACTGCTTTGAAAGAACGTACCATGTGCTTTTTCAATTTTATTGAAATAGTGGAACAAGCTATGTATACTCATCGTAATGACATTCTTTACTATATTATTTACAATTTTTAATATTGTGTTTTATTTATAGAAAATATTCAATTTAATATTCGCCAATCTACAGTTCCAAGTCCTATAAGAAGTCCAACGACCGAAATTAATAATATTCATTTCATCGATATTCAAACTGACTTACAATATCAAATGAATCAAAAGCGATTGGATGTTGAAATTATGTTAAATCCTTTTGCACCAAAGATGTACCATTCACCAACATTGTCTAAGCCATTAAAAAATACATTTCACCCTCGAAACTTGAAAGAATTTGCAAAGAGTAGAAGCTCCCCCATACAGTGTATTGACTCCAAACAACGTGAACCATTAAACATAGGAGTATGACATTATTCAAATAAATTAAGAAACAATATTTTGATTCCATTTAGGTTCCTCCTGATGATGGTAATTTACTATATCTCGCTACTGAACTACATACTATTTATGGACAAACTCATCGTGCGAAAATTATTGTTCCAGATCATACAAAGGCAGAAGATGAATCGTTAATAAATAATAATGATCTGAGATGTCTGAAGTTTGATGATTGCCATACAGATGATAAAGTCGATCTTGATAACAACCGAATCTATTCAAAAATCACTGCGGAAGAACGTCAAAATTTAATGAAAAAGTAAAGTTTTAGTTTAGTTCTTATTTCTGTTATCTGCATGGTTAATGTGTTTTTTTTATAGGATTCGAATTCATATAATCAATTTATACCAAAGAGGTCAAATAGACAGAAAAATGGTGCAAAATCAAGATCTTAAAAAATTCCAGCTAGCTTTTTGGTTTTGTATTCTTGAAAATGAAGTATACAAATGTGTGTCTTCAGTGTACCAGTCTAATATAACATCAGAACGTAAGTTTTCGTAATTATCAATTTAAAATCTTCTAATTTTATTCTTCATTATAGGCAACGAACGTACAAACAGAGACAACAATATTGCTACTAAACAATCCAAAAAATCCTTCAAAAAACCTATCGGTGTACATTAAATATATTATGAATGAACCATCAGAGTGTATAGTTTATTATTCAGAACTATCCTACTAATTCTCTAAAAACAAGTTTATATTGACTTTCTTCGATTTTATTTTTTTCTCATATTTCTTTATTGGATTTTTAAAAAAATTTTTGACTCTTTTTCTACGAAAATATGTAAACTTGAACATATATATGTATTTCCTGATATACTTAATTTGATAATTGTTAAGTTACGTTGATGGATAATGGTATAAAGAGATTTTATAATTGATTTTGTACATACATTATGAACAAGTTTGGTTTTTTCTATGATGGATTTCAATGCAGAAAAGAAAAATGTTGGTTAATTCATCAATGAAGAGGAATATTTCTTTAAATCATTTGTTGAAAAAATCTTTACTTTGTATGAATTACTGATAAGATTAGTTTCTATGTAAGACATTTTTTCCAGAGTGAAGAATTAAATTTCGCAACTCATCGAAATTTCCAAACAAACATTTTTGGATTGCATTACAAAATGGAAGAATGACATTCAGCATGAGTCATTTGACATAATAATATATATTTTTCGGTACATCTAGAATCCTTATCAACTCAAATATGAACTTAATCATTAAATAGTGAAGAATTATGTGAAAAATATTGTTCTTCTGCTGAAAAGTATTGATACACAGCACACATTTTTCGAGTAAATTTAGGTATGTTTTATTAATCGAGAATGGTATAAAACAATTTAACAAGAAGTTCTTGAATAACATGTAATATATCTAGGGATCAAGGTATTTACGAAAGTAGTGAAAATGACGCTGCAAAATCAAAACGTTGCTGTAGTTTTTGTTTTTATTTCAATGATGATATTGAGTCTTTTCTATTTAATTGATGTCATCCTATAAATCATTTGTATCCGATAATCAGAAGAGTCTATTTAATATTTAGTTAGAAAGAAATTTTGTAAACAGTTTCACATTTGATTTTGACATATATATACATGGTTTCACATATGTATTATGCGTTAATGTTTAATTTTATAAGATCAATTCGTAATATAATACTGACATTATTGACAAGAGAAGTATTCCAATTGATTAATCACTTTTAAGTTTGAACTATGTGCATCATGTAGTTTCTAATGAGTTATAAATAGTCTAAAAAGAGTTCAAGTCCTTAGGTTATTCATGCAAGAATAATTCATTTTTACGATTTTTTTTATAATTTATTGCCGTGATTCCCGTCAGAAACACAAGTAAAATTTGTTTTCGAACTGTTCCTTTCTTAAAATAAAATCATAAAACCTGTCAGTGTACATCAAAGCTGTCAATGAAATCGCAACAATCAACATTATTTTCACTTGCTGGGCTAAAATAGCGTTTATTACTGCAATTTCGCAAATCGCTCTGGTGTATGTAAGTAATATGAGACACAAACTTTTATCTTAGCTGTATCTTAGGATAGAACAAACAAAAATATCTGAGATTTTCATAAAAAATTATTCTCACAGACTCTAGTCTTTATGAAAGGTTTCAAGTCAAAATTTCAAAATGATCTTTCCTTGTGTTTTTGAAAGAACGTTATGGCATAATTGAAAATACATCGTCAACATTAAATATCTTGGCAGCAAATAGCTAAGGGCACAAAGTTTTTTTCCGAATATTCATAGTTCATTAAGATCTGTTCGAAAAAACATAGTCTCGAATCAAAAGCGAATAATTAGTCGAGATACTTTCCTCGTAAGACTGTGATGTGAGATGAACAATTTTATCTTTTCAATCTAAATTTTTGATCAAATCTCTGTGATAATAGTATCTTCGTATTGATAATTTCAAGTTCAATATCGACGATAATTACTGATATTAACAAATTCAAAATATTCTTTTTTCTTTAAGAATTTTTTATTTAAACCAATATAGAATCTTACTCATCTGGTCTCTAAAAATCTTCAGTGAGATATCTTCCTTGCATTAGTTGATGTTAGTTGAATTTTTTATTTTAAATTTGTTGAATATATCAAAATCTTCTAGTAAAAATGGTCTCATCATCGATGAAAACAGATTGAATTACGAGATTTTAAACTATAAAATATAGAACAGGTAAGAAAACTACTTGTGTTTTTTATATTTATGTATTCTCATAAGTAATTATGTCCACAGAAGTAAACTAAAAATCAGTCTATTGCGTAAATCGATTTCATCCATCGAAGAATGAAAAATATTTTCGTTCGATGAGTATAGTTGAAGAAGTCATATGAAATATAATACTTAAATTGATTGCTTCATTAGTCACTGATTTTTTTCCCACATCTTCAACATCATATAAACAACTCCTAAACTTATTTAGTCATTGCGAATAAATGATTCATTATAACTATTATTTTTTAAATAATTCCAACTGTTATTTGCATATTCTCGATAATAACTATCTAACATCTTGTTATCATGTTCAATATCAAAAGAATTACTATCATTCTCATGATTCATTTATCGCAATAACTTGAAATATGAAACTTGCTAAAGATATTCTTGCGGAAACTTCCAAAATTGCAATTTACGAAGGTTAAAAACTGTGTGCGTTCGCGGCACAGATGAAAAATTGCTGAAATTGAAAGCTTTCGTTCACTTTTCTTCTGTTTGATTTGTTCAAGTGTACGAATTTGCCAACCTACGCCGGTATATTTCCAACACTTTCATGACAAGTGCTTATTGTTATTATTATTTCTCTTCTATATAAAGATTAACTTGGATATTTCTTTAGATGAATAATGTAATTATTCAACTATATATACCTTTAGAAAGCTTTTATCTCTCAGTAGAACTATGTAAGTAGAATGGTTGATTAGCGCTTACCAATGGTTTATATTAATATTTCTTTCATTTGTTTTAGAATAAAATTACAACATTATTTAACAAGCTTTTACTAGAACATATACAGTACATTTGAAGATATTGAAATAAATAGAACTAGTAATACAATTATTGTTCATCTTTTAATGTATTTTGGCAAATATAGAGTAAGATTAAATTATAAATTACATTTCTTCTCACAATAGAAGACTTCTTTGAAAGAACGATGCGCCGGACATAAGAGAAGACTTACTTTCATTAATTATTTTCTCACAAAATTGGCACTTTATTTAATATATTTACATCAAAACATACCTAGTTTCTAGAGTGTTGAGCTGAAAATCTTAAATAATTGCGGTAAGAATTATTTCTAATGTTTTAAATCCGTAAAAATATCTTATTAAATCCTCAGAATCATTTTGGTTTCCTAAAAAACAAACCATTTAATAAGAAATTATGGAAATAAATTAAACAAAGTGTAAGGTCTCCATGAAAATATTGTACACTTGAACATAATAGAAGACACGAAGTCTTGTATAGCGAGAAGGACCTTACGCAGTTTACATAAAGATTGTGCCATAGTTTCATAAGAAAAATGAAATATTTCTTTTAAGTACACTATGTTTCGTTAGTTCTTTTCGTTCATTTTTTGATTGTAATTTTGATGCTATTTTTCTTTCAAAATTACATCACAAAAATAAATATAATATTTAGTATAATATTGTATGTTGATCTAAATTGTATAAATTTCGTTTCGAAAATATTTCAAGATGATCAATAACATTTAATGTGGCTTTTATAAATCATTGTTAGGTGATATAATCTTACTTTGATGTTTTTTGATATATTACTATAATACATTTGTTCGTTTCTCTATTTTTTTTATATCAATTACTATTTAGTATTATATATTAATATCCCTTATTAATTAGGATTTCTATGAAAATTTCCTTGCTCAATATTTGTCATCCTTGATTCAAAAGCATGATATTTGTTTATTATTGACTAATGATTAAATGTGACGTAAAGGTATTTGTTTTTTTTGCATGATGATCAGAAGGAATAAAAAAACGTGCTGACGCGAATAGTGAGTCATTATAGCTTTCCAAATCGTCATGATTATTCGTTCGTTATAACCATTTATAACAATCTTTGCTGTTCTGTATTTTGTCGCAACCTTCAAAAACAAAGTACAAAGTACGCAGTCTGAATTATAACAAAAAACAGTGAAGAAACTAAACGTGAACAATAATCAAAAAGCTTCTCAATGATTATACATTATGTTTCGAATTATACCAATTTTCATTAATCAGATATTAATTTTTATCAACTGCATTTCGAGTTATATAAACAGTTAATTGGGACAATGTAATATTTAACTGATTATTATAAAATTAATATATAATACTTATTTCATGGATTTTGAGTAAAATTTACATGTATAAACTCAATTTAATTGGTTGGATACAAAAAGATGATAAAATTAAATATTTTTCCAGCATGAACGATAAAAGCAGTTAACGAGAGAATGTCTGGAGATGTCAAATTACTTTTCGATCGAGACGATATTTATTTGATAAGTATTAGTGAGTAATAGAAAAGTCTAGAATAATTTCGTTTTCCAAGTTTTAGTTCATGATATATCGAAATTTTATTGAAGTTTTCAACAAAAAAAACAAAAAAACTACGATCCTCTCAAACCACGTGGCAAATCAACTTTTAAGTTTCAACTTCAAAGCTTGCATGAACAAAGTTTTCAATAAAACTTAATTGATTGTGCAACTTTTACCTGTTCTAGTATCTAAATGTACGATGAAAATTTCAAATATTGAATATCTCAAAATAAAAGATACTAGAAAAATTTCAACTTTCTCAATGAACTAATCTTATTGAGAACTTTGGTGATGAAAAGGTTGAAGTTGAAACTCAAAAGTCGATTTTCCGCATGTTTTTTTATTGAAAAATGCAATAAAATTTCAATGTCTCAAGAAAAAAGGTTCAGAAAACTAAACTATTCTACAATTTTCTATAACTCACTAGTATTCATCAAATATATATCGTCTCGGTTGAAAAACGAATTGACACTTGCAGATGCTCCGTCGTAAATTCACATACAACAATTAATAATAATTCTACATTGACAAATGGCAATACTTTGAGAAAATATTATCGATGATCCTCTTGATTTAGTCTTTTCATTGAGCTAGTGAAGTTTTATTGTCATTTACATGATAATTTCAGATGCTAACATAATATCAAAACGATTGAGAAACTAATCATTTTTTTATTTATGTTTCAGATTTTCTTATTAATTCACAATTGAGGATAGAACTTTATTATCAATTTTAAATATGGGAAAGATCATCACTAATCAAGGTATGAATAGATGTATACTTCGCTGTATTTGCTCAAAAAAATTATTTTGAAATAACTGTTCCAGAAAAGATATCAATTGATCACATTCTACAGGGTGTTCCAAAAGTCACACTATACTTAGTGCTATAGGACAGCACTAAGTATAGTGTGACTTTTGGAACACTCTGTAAATAACTTATTTACTTCTGTTCTAAATAAATTCAGAGTTTTTCTTAAACATCAATAATTCTTTTTACATCTATTTAGAGAAGTTGCGTAACGGAAATTTTAATCAATCATCCCTTGCTATCTCTGACAATGATCCACAAGATTCACCTCTTGATTTATCAAAAAATAGCGAACGTTTCGAATTTCGACGACCAATGTCTATTGAGGAGTCTTTAGAATTACCTAAAGACTTGTGCGCTAAACACCATCATATTTCTGATAGACAAATATTAGCAAATTATACATATAAACAACCACAGATTATCACTGAACCAAAATCAGATTGGCATTATCGAAGTTTGAAAGATTTATTAAAAAATCACATCCCTCTTCTATCTGGTGAAGGTCCTCAACGAACACCAATCCGAGTACAAGTAAGTTTTTCATCATTGTCATAATAATTCATCATATAATACTCTATATAATTTACAGATTCCTGAAAAATCTATGCGACCAATGTATCTCGCTATTGCAGTCGTAACTCAAGATCACAAATTTCATGATTCTAAAGTAATTGTACCACCAAAAACACGTGTGAGGGAAGATAGATTGTCTCACAATAACGATCTTGGCTGTTTGGATTTCGATGCATGTAGTCGAACAGACTATTTCGATCCAATCACAAGACATGTCTACTTATACATTAATGAAGAAGAACATATATCTCAATTAAAAGAGTAAGTGATTGATCTTCTTTTTTTTAGGCAAATTTTACTAACATGTTTTTATATGTTATATATAGAGTGCGGATTCACATGTTCAATTTATATCAAAATCAAACGATAACCAAAGAAATCATCGAAACTAGAAGACTGGATTTGTGTAAATTAGCTTTCTGGTTATGTTATTTGGACAATGGCCATTTTATATCTATTTCTCAACCATCATTTTCCTGCGTTATTCGAGAAAGTAAACATAATTGATTCTTCTTATTCTTTTTTTTCATACTAATCTTTTTTCTGTGTAGAAAAAACTATCAATCGATCTCGTGTATCACAACCAATCCGCAATCATAAAAATCCATTTTATCAGTTATCAATAGACTTTGTAGACGACAGTAGTCCAGACAATAAGAATGATGATAGTGATCATGATATGGATTGTTAATAGTCATATTATTCCGACAAATTGCTCTGTTGCATTTCTCTAATAGTTTGTGTCATATTTTTTTTTTATTTTCGTTATATTTTTTTGTTGAATAAAAACTGACCTATAGGAATCTTTATATTCATTGAATAGCTTGAAGAATCGAGCACCGCATGCAGATATTGTTTCGATTCACACATTTCTATCATAATTACTCTCGAAAAAAGTTCATAGATAATATTCATATGGATAAAGAAAATAGTAATAATGCACTGTAAGACTATTACTATCATGTGATCAGATCCGATGTGATGAAGACATTAGAAAAAAAATGCTAAGAAAATAGCTCAGTATCTCATATTAACAATATGAAGCAATATTATAGTTGAATTTTATGAACATGAATGATGTTGAATTTTATCTCAGGTTGAAGTCACCGAGTTGAATCCGATAGGATCTATGAATTATTCGATAATGTTAAAGTACCTGCTTTTGCGTTTTTTGATTATTAGACAACATACGATATTTTAGGATAATTGTATTTTTTCTCATGAAAATCAACAAAATATTAGTCAAAAACACCTGAAATATTATATTTCAGAAAAAAATATTGCTTGAAAGATTTTCTCTAGTTAGTGTTTTTCTTCGATGTGTTCAGAACAATTTGCACTGCAAAACAATCTCTATCGAAATATATTAATACGTGTGTGATCAACAAATATAATGATAGCCACACAGATCTGATTATTGTCAAAGATCGGAAACGATGTACACAGGAATTATTGGCTATTTCAAACGATCCGATTTCTGTGTAAACAACAAGACTGTTTCTAAGAGCAATGATTTGTGAAAACGTTGTCTGACAGTTTTGCATACAAAAGAAAACAAATCTCGCGAGAGGACCGATGTCACTACTTATATTAATCTTTACTTTTTGCTAATGACATGTTCGAAATGATAGTGGATTTCATTGAATATATTGTTTTCAATATTTATTATCAAGTATACATATAATTCGTCATATTAAACTGCCGTCATTGAAAATTAACTCATCACAATCTGTTATCCGTATATAATACAATTTGAGAGATTAAAATTTTATATAAAAAAAAATAGACAGTTCAGATAGGCCATGTGACCTGGTTATAGCTCTGGTTTGTTCTATTGCGAAAATCAACAATGAATATATATTGAAAGATATATTTGAACCAATTCAAAATAGAGGAAGATAATCCATGTCGTAAACGCTGAGAAATTACCGCCATTATATCAAGAGGTACAATAATCGCGATACCAGCTACTTTTTTCACAGTATTGTATCAAAGCGGATGAATATTTTTTCCAGTCTGTTAAAATTGATAGAAATTAGTCGCTTTCGATTGCACTCTGATAATATTGATGACGTCTGAGTCGTCTCTATCAGTCACAAAGATCACATCGGCTCCGATTATGAAATAGTTTTTGATTCAGTAAAATAAAATGTGTTACATGTGTCATACTTTTCAACACAATCTTTTTCACATTTTGAAAACATCGTTGAAATCCAGCCTACGACGCATAGATCATTCTTCTACAGACATAAATAATTAATATTTTTCCAGTTTCATTCTAATTAGTGATGCTTATTCTTTAAAGTTCAACGGGGTCAGGTCTTGAGATCTATTTGTCTAGAGTTCGTTTAATCTCGATCACATCGCTTCGAGACAGTCCTTTCTTGATCATCAATCGATCTTTCGGCATGTTTTCGATCAATAATTAATCGATAAATAATCTAGAAGAGAAAGCATCCAAGAGTAAACATGCTCGTTATATACAATCGAGTTGGTTGTATTTAGCTGCATGCATCAAATGAAATAGCGAATGAATAGTTAGCAAAGAGACCACGACGCATTCATATTACGGCACACTGACGATATAGAGTCTGCAACATATAAAAATAGCGACTCATGAATGTGACATATTTTGCTTTGGTTTGTATTAAATGACACTGTAACGACTTGTATTAGTAAAATATATTCTGAAACTGTTGTCTTGTCGATTAATTTGAATTTGGATAGAAAACAGTCTCAGCAATCATTTCTAACTGTAACTGGAAGTTATAAGCGCTACCTCTAGTAAATTATCGGTATACCGCTGGTTGCTATAAGTATCGTAGTATATTGACAGTGGTACGAACAGACGTGTGACATCGAAGACTTTTTGTTTCTTGTATACGAAAACCGTCTCATCCGACTGCAGAAGGTATTCAAAATTGAGATCCGCAAGTGAGACTCGTGGATCCCTGATTCAAAACTGTGTAGCACAATGTTACATGTAAGGTATACTTTACTTATTGTCAAAGGTAAAGAAAGGAAGTATTTTCTTAAATTTCTGTGAATCAATAAAGTCAATTTATTTTAGAAAAGATGCAAGATCAAATTCGAGATGATCAACAATACAACGAGTAGCATTTATATTTCAAATGCTATATAAATTTTCGCTTAATATGTATCTCGACAAGTTCTTCATAAAGTCACTTTCTTTTATTGCAAATGAATATATAAACGAGCTTTGCGTTTTATAAATATTTATCCAATGCTTTTTGATGCGCTCGAACAGAAAAAACTTCATTAATTAAATGAAGAGCAAAATTTATTGATGCATACAGTGTTACAAGTACTTGACTAACAATTATTACGACTGTATGATGAAACAAAAGGATTTATTTGAAAAAATATAATTGCAACAATAGTGAGTCTTTTTTATTTTATTTTTTTGAAAAAGTTTAATATTTTACATCTAACACAATAAAACCACGTAGAAATCCTTATAAGATATTTTATTTATGCAGTTTAAAATGAAACAGTCACAAGTAGTAGAATAGTTTTACAAAGTAGTTGGTAATATGTAAAAAAAAATTGTTTTAAGAAAAGAAAAAAGAATCAGTAAAGATATTTATAACAATTCAACATCCTATTGCAGTCTTACCCAGTGAAAAAATATCAGATTATGTAAGATTATAACCGGATTTTTGTGCAACAAAATTCCAATTATAATCGATTGAAATCTTCTAAATCAACTATAATTTGATTTTTAATCAAAAATAATCTCCTAAATCAAGTATAATTTTGATTAAAATCATGTATTTTTGATTTGATATGATTTTTAATCGTAACTATCAGATTTTAATCAAAATTATACTTGATTTAGGAGATTATTTTTGATTAAAAATCAAATTATAGTTGATTTAAAAGATTTCAATAGATTATAATTAGAATTTTGTTGCACAAAAATCCGGTTATAATCTTACATAATCTTGTCATTTTTCACTGGGTAAGGATGCGAGTGTCCCTATCCAGCATGATAGATACTTACATTCTGACACCTGCACTCATAATCTTCAACATAATGATATCGTTCATCTCTGCCTATTTTTCTGTCATTTACAATTTACTGACAATACTTCACTCATTCCTAAAAAACTAATAATATTCGATCAATTTCAATTGATGAGAAATAACTATATAAACAAATGATAGCTCAACCAGAAGCCGCAAGCCGATTTGACAAGAATTAAAATAATGCATTTTGGCAATGTCAATCATATAATACTTAATTACTATCGTACAAATGGATATTTTCCTTATAATCACTTATTGTTCTTGTATTCTCTAAATTTTCACTTAAAATACTTAATATTGAATCAATGGTATGAAGAACACGATGACTGTTGTTAATGAAAGTTTTATTTATTATATTGAAATTGTGAATTTCATCTGTTTGCTACTTTATCATAACATTACTGACGACAAAATAAAAAACAATCATAATGTCTTGATACAATCCCTAGAAGAAAATCGATATCTATATTTTATTATGTTTTTAAACTTAAAAAATAAATGAAAAAATATTCTGATTATAATTTCGTATGAAATAATCCTTGATACATATCCAAAGAAAAATGTTAAAACCTACTGAAATGAGTTATATTTTGGCAATGAATCATTGCAATAAGCATGAACAAATCGAATAAAATGATAGATGTCACATGTGAATGGACACTGGAAATTTAGTTTAACTGTGACAATGATGAAAAAAAAATATGGGCCAAATATGAGAGTAAATACTTAAACATAACAAACAGAGTGTTCTCATCTAAAATAAGTATCAACCAATAATATCACCATAGGAAAATTCCAAGTTTATGTATGAGTAATGCATCTCATTTTACATTTGTCATTCTCATTTCAAACGTTAAAAATGACGAATAAGTAAAGTTTGTTACCAACGATTATAGTAATCACTATATCGTTGTTTTTATTAATAGAAGCATTTCTGAATATCCTCGTACGATCCTTTCTCTATTTCACTTACAAAACACAACTATGATTGAATAAGACAGGAAACTTCAGTTGTCTTTTTCCAACTAGATGATGTAATTTGTGTGCTTATGACGCTTGTCAACCTGAATATAAAAGCTGACTTTTTCTTTTTCATTTCTTTCAAGAACAAATATTCATTATTTTTATCTATAAATAAGACGTGAAAATTGCATATCTTATAGATATTCAAGTCAATTAAGTACATATGATCGCTCAATCTTCTTATTCTTCAGAGTCAAGTGACTTATTCAATGAACATGTATTTAATGATTCATCTGTTATTCTAAAACCAGCTGATTCTTTAAAGGTGCAATTGTCCACCGTTTCAAAGTAATAAATATTTTGTATTCAACTGGACTTAGGAGTCTTTTTTTCTTTGTTTCATAGGAAATGGTGTGGTTCTATGCAACTTCGTTCACTATCTTCTTTGAGTGAATGCATGAATTTCATAGCTACAAACAGTTCCATTGGGAATTCATATAATGACGGAATACGATGCACCTTGAACAAAATATCCGATAATATGACGAGAGAACAATTAGCTTACTTGTTAGATGGTTATGCTGACCTATTTCAAATTATCTTCCAACTCATTCCGTTTGATGATAGTTGGATTGGCAATGATAACCAAATAAGTACATTTGTTGGTGCTTCAGTTAATGGCGAGCAATCAAACTATCAAAATTTTGCTTTCATAATGTATTATTTCAAACAAAACTTGTTTGCACCATTCTATGTCGCTGCTACTGATGGTTCTTTAAAAACTTGTTTCTCAGTGAATGATCATAGCGTCATTCGAGACATTACTGATTTTTTTCAAAAATGGACTCCTACAAGTACGTCTATAAAATTTTAAATATATTCTTGGTTTTCTGAGTTTATTAAGAATGTGCAGGCATGACATCCGAACTTAGCAACATTGACGGTTACAATCATAATATAACAAACACTCAGAATCCTCATAGTATGAATAATTTCAATAATCCAATTTCTTCAGAATCAAGTAAATCTTTTATTTTCATTGATATATTTTGATTTATATAAATGTATATATTTTTGAGCTTGTGAAAAAGATACTATAATGCCGGCTTGTAAAGTAATTGAAAATCATTTTCAACTTGTTTTCAAATGCATTATGAAATTAGGTATTAAACTCGATAATATCTCAATTAATCACAACTTAAAATGTAAGTTAATTTGCTTGTATTAATAGATTATTACAAAAAAAAGAAATATTTAATAATTTTTTTTTCAATTTTGAAAAATTTATCCATATTACCATGACGAAACTTGTTTTAAGTTTTCAAGAAAGAAATATCCTAGCAAGTCTAATAGCTTTATTTGATTATTTCGTTATGATTCTTTGTTTCAAATTTGAGTGCATTCTTGAGTGTTTGAGCTAGAAATGGCATATCAATAAAGAATAATTGATTCAATTTTGTTCTTTGTTATAGACTCAACATCGAATGATTTTGATCGATTGCCGAATAATGATATAATCAAAAAAATAGAAAATGAATTTTATTCAATTTTGGAAATTCTTCGAATAGCTACAGATCCTATTCAAGGTAAACATTTCCTCACACGAAATCCTTTTAATTTTATTTCTATGTATGTACATAGTTGAAGAAGTTGACGATGTTCCATCGATGGAAACTGACGAAAAGCAATGCTTTGCAGGTAAGTTAAGAAATAGAGCGTTTACTATCTATACAGAATATGATATGGAACAGCATCGAGTGATACATGTAATACTCAACATCGGAAAAGAATTCGTACCTCTCCATCTTTATTAAGTCAAACCAAGTCATCAAGTGAATTAGAATTTTTAACAACAACAGCGAGCACTCAAAACGTTAACAACGAATTACCACAATATGGTGCTCCAAAAGTTTTAACTGAACCAAATCGTTATCAACGTGTTCGCATGCTTAGTGATCTTGAAGATGGTCGTTGTCCTATAATACAAGCAGGTGGTGAAGACGCTGCACAACGAACTCATGTTGAGATTCAGGTAAATAACAATATATTCATATCAAAAACTGAGTTTCTTTCAATTGAAGGTACCAAAAGATGATAACACTGAACTTTTTGTTCGTGTTAGAGCTGTTACGGTGAATAATGATAAGCATCACTTCAAAGCAGTCATACGAAAAAATCCATCGATTGATGCATCATCAATTCATCATGATGGCGAGCGAAGGTGTTTAAAATTTAATAAGAATGATTTCGATCGAGAAGCTGACTGTACATATCTTCCTATTAGTCTTAAAGAACGTAAAAATGGCAAAAAAGAGTATGTTTTCATTTATATAAATACCCTTGGAAAGAATAGTTTTAATCGTTTTTTTTTTGAAAGATATTCTCACGATAATAACAAAATTATATATTCTTAAAGCATGCGGAGTTTTCTATTACCCTACATATTTATGTTTTAACTTACGCATAGTGGGTAGAAAATAAATCAACTGCAAGGAAAGCATCCTCATCATCATGTTTCCACGAACTGAAATTCGTCATTCTCTCCTTAACTAATTTTTTTATTCTTATCATCAATACAGAAATATTTCCGGTTGGTAAGAGTCTTGTGAGGAGGATGCTTACATTGCATTTGATTTATTTTCTAGCTAGTAGCCCCTAATTTGAAAACATAAATATACAGGATGACAGAAAATTTCGAATGCTTTTTCAATATAAACTTAAGTTTTTATGGTAGCAATGTTTTTAAGAAAAAACAATTACAACTATTTTGTTCCAAGAGTATTTATATATATACTTGAAAATTTTTCTTTCTATTTTTAGAATATTAGCCTATCTGATAACTAAGAAACGACAAGGATCTCAGGATCAAAAATTGTTTAAAAATGAAATTTTTCATTTATGTAAACTTGAATTTGGTTTATGTGTTGAATGTGGTCACGATGAATACAAGCTTGTCTCCACAGTTTCCTATTCATCAATTATTGAAGATAGTAATATTTATATTTATCTAACATATTGTAATGAATTTTATATTAATTAATTTCAGGTGATGGTCCTCTTAGTATTAATTCAGATAGCGTTCAGCTACAAAAATTATGTGTACGAGGCGGTCAGATAATTAATTTGCCATTAAGTGTGGATTGTCCTAAGAAAGGTAGAATAGCAATTTAGTTATTCAAACAAATTTTACAATGCATTTTTTGTAGATTTTTCTATCTTATGTAATAATGAGGAACTAGATGGAAAAAAAATTCAAGATACAAAAAAAGAAATTACTAATCTTCTTATCACTGAAAGCAGAACCTAATCAGCAACTTCATCTAACCATCTTACGAAAAGAATATGACGAAAAAATACGAGCAAATACGAAAAAAATACTCTATGATCACATTTTTGAATATGTATCTCATGATGGTAACAAAACGAATGATTTCTTCGAACGAAATTTTTGAATAAATTTTTTCTTTAGACCAACCATGGCACGTCTGTGATCAGCAAAACTTTGTTTGAAATAAAATTCTGATTTTATCGACAAATCAAAACAACAATTTTTTTTGAATGATATTTCTGTTAATGGTGTAGGGGCAATATAAATAGTAAAAAATATAGTACGAATTATTCTAGCTACAACTTATCTAATGCTTTTGTATTTCTTTAAAATATATAATATATTGACGATCAAATCACTGTTTTGAAAATATTTATTTACTCCACATTGTTTATTTTTCTTCTTTGATCGTACGCTTTTATTTGTGTGTTTAAGGACTGATAAGAAACAACCTTGACCCTAAAGGTATAAATAATTTTTTTTGAAGAAATTTCTCGGTGGCTATCAAAACAAGTTATTTATGTTAATATTTATTTGCAAATCGCATGACGTCGATGTTTATGTACTTCCTAGCTATTACTCAGAGATGAAGGTACAGCATTATATATTACTCATAATAAAAATATGCAATTTACATTGAGAAAAACCGAACTACATATTTTCTTATTAATATAGACAAAGCGTACTCCATTTTATTATAAACTCCACGACTTTTTTTTGCATATATTGAGTTGGGGAAAATGAATCATATCTCACAAGGACATGAAGTTTCGTTCTTTCTTTTTTTCCTTTTCATCCCACTTATGTACTTTTCTGGCGATCATTGTTTTAATAAATAGCTTTTTATTTTCATAGTTTCATTTGTAGAATACATCTTTTTAATAAAATCATGTTGAACATTGTTGATACATTAAATGAACATTGTTTTATGGATACTGATAATGAATTAAATTTATTGACAAATATCAAAAATAATTATGAAAAATCATGTGTCAATAATATAGAGTAATTTTTTTCTTCTTATTGAATTATTAAATTTTTTTTTTCATTATAGAAATGATACTTTTCTTAAACTTTATGGGGCAAAAAGTGCTCGTGATACATTTGAATTTATTTTATCAAATGATTCTACATTTAAAAACAAAACTATAGACAAAAATCAAAATGAATTAACTGATTCAGATTACGAACAACTTAATAATCTTGTACGAAAGTACAGAAATAGACATACATTAATTCATCTGATCATAGATTTCCTTGAATTCTCTAACACACGTTTGAACTTCATTGGATTTGTAGATGGAAAATTTAGAATCATTAATGAATATTTTATTGTTAATCAAAATAAACTGAAGAAAAATGCTTTTATCGTACTTAATGGTGATGATACAATTTGTGGTCCACTATTTGCTTTTGATCGAAATGAGAAAATACAGACTGTTTTTGATTTTGATGACATGAGTATCTATCATTATGTTGATAAATATATTGACGAAATTAATCGAACAGGTACGTTTTATTGTTTGTTAAATAAAGTAAATAGTATTTGTTTCGAAATAGATCGAAGTTTATTTCCTCAAATAGAAGATAAAACAATTTCGAATGTTCCTCAAGATTGGTATAGTGGTAAGATATAATTTAATAAATTATGTATTACTATAGATAAATTTATAGATGATATCCGTTTATTAGTAAATGATTTAAACCCAGGTAAATTCAAACGTTAGTATTATTATCAATGATTCTCATTTATTATTTTAGAAATTTTTGTTTCACCTGAAAATAAAATTGAAAGTCGTACTTACGGTGATCATATTAAACAAAAAATTCTTCAAACAAATAAAACATTATGTACAACCAATGCTATTTCGTTATCAATCCAAGAGTCTGGTAAATTGTTAAGAAAAAAAAACAATCGATTTCTTCTCGTTTGTCTTTCAGGAATCAATCCTAATAATTTCAACCATATATCTGCACAAGTAATAACAACTTGCCAACAACGAACACAGATTTTACCGAATGTTATTCAAGAGCTAGAACAACATAGACTACGTATATAATCGTTTAATTTCAAAATTTATTATGTATTATTTTTTTTAGAATACAACGAAACTTTTATTTCTTCTAATACAAACAACAACTATCACAGCGATGCAGGTGACCCTTTAGAAACAAAAATATTTGTATAACAATTGACTGTATCTATTTAGCTCAACTAAATGAATCAGATCGTGTTACACAAGCGGATCAAATTTCAGTTGATACTTCAATATCTACATCAACTCATTTATCAAAAACAACAGAAATTCTTCAAATCGTTCTTTCACAAACAACTACACAATATTCATATGAAAAACCAGAAATTGTTATCCAACCAAAACAAGATTGGAATCCTCGATATCCAAAAGACTTAATAATAAAGCCAACGAACGAAGCCTACAAAAATCTACAAGTAAAACGAAAATATCGACGAAAAACTAATAAGCGTATGAACAAAAAAGAACAAAGAAAATTTATCGGACTTCTACAAGGTGTTGGTAATCAACGTTCTCACATTCAAGTGAAAGTAGCTAATTAATTATATTAAAAAACCTAACAATTGATATCTTTAACATGTCTCATAGGTTCCTTCCAAATTCACACAACCGATTTATCTTGCTATAGCAGTTCGAACTATTAATAATCATTATCATTCTTCGAAAGTTATCGTGCAAGAAAATACCAAAGTGAACAAACATCTTTGTAACCATGACAACTATCTTAACTATTTGGAATTCGATGAATGTGATCAAGAGCATTACTTTGATTTAAATACAGGAAATGTTTATATGAAAATTACTTCAAAAGAACATCGACAACAATTGAAACAGTAATTCTTTATTGTATCATATAAATTTTCTTCTATTGATTATATATATGATTGAAAGGGTACCAATATACATGTTTAATTTATACCAAAATCTACGATTAACCAAGGATATGATTGAACGTGAACGACTTGACAAATGTAAATTAGCTTTTTGGTTATGTATTAAAGAAAATGAAAATTATAAGCCAATTTCTCCTGAATCATTATCTTGTATAATTACAGAAAGTAAAAATTCTTATATGATTTTTCGTCCTTTTAATGTTTATTTTCTAGGAAAAAAGAAATATAACTCTTCTCGTTCTATGGTGTTTGATAAAAATGAAAAATAAAAATAATTTTACCTGGAAAATTGCAGTGGTGCAATAATGGCTACATCAAATGAAGTTTGCTCTTACTTTTGCGTCCTATTTATATAGAATGTCGTTCTTCCTTGTAAGCGAAACATTGTTGACTGGGTTTTTTTTCTTCTTTCCCACGTGTATTGCTTCATGTCTTCACAAAATATCGTGTTTATTTTTATTTGCTTTTTTTCTTTGCTAGTTCGACAAATATTCGCTTTTAAAAAAAAACTGCTTGTAAGGTAAAAATAATCCTCTTGTATCATTATATTTAATAACAATGATACAACAATATAGACATCTTTAAAGTCCAATTTTCAATCAAAATAAAAATATGAAGACCAAACACTGAGATTATTGAGCTCAATATAGAATTCCACAGTAATTATTAAGATATGAATCTAATCAATTGAGTTGGTTTGATTTTTTTATCAGTATGTCTAACACAAGATTTCAGTTAACTTGTTTTGAAGTGTCCATGATGATAGCAAAAACAAACACGAAACTTAGAATGCATTAGTATAATTATGAAACTAAAATATATAAAGTTTTGATTATATATAACATCTGCAAACGCTAATTTTGGTACTATTAAGACAGCTAAAATTGAAATTTTTTTGTTTTCTATTAATGAACTCATATTAATATTAACAAAAAAAAATTGTACGGTTAATTCAGATGCATTCTTATAGATGACTAACGATTATTTCGAGTTTTAATTCAGACAAATCAAATAAAAAGAAGTCTTAACTGTGAACTCGTTTGAGAAAGAGAAATAGTGAATAAGTATTTTATCATTTCTTTGTTTCATAAAAAGAAACTTTAAATAAAAGTTAATTGTGTAGTGTACAATAAAAAGATATCATAAATGTATGATTTTCATCTATGATTGAAGAATGATAAATAATGTCTTGTCGCATAATGATTTATAATTGATAGATAGACAGAATCTTTTTCAAAAGAGACAATCATATATTTACTTTATTATTTGCTATGTGTTGTCTAAGTGAGGTTACGTCATGCTTTGCATCATATAAACCAGTGTTTTATTCAGAATTTCTTTTCCAGAGAGACGATTTATAAATCCGATAGAAACAATTCAATTTTAGGAGAGATGCTGTTCCCTTAAACTTCACACTGGATAAATTACTGATATAAACAATTAGAATCCGTAGACATTACGAATTTTTTTTAGCTTCATCCACATTTTTCATGTTCTTTTCCTCCTCACCGCTGTCTTAGGTAAAATGTAAAACTATTTAATATTAGTTTACAACTGAAAATATCTGGCTTGTTCTCTCTTGAACACTGTATATTTTGGAAGATGAGCTTAATACGACAGTTCATACTGTAGTAAAAAATACATATGACAATCGAAAATAAAACTACAATGACTTATAAGAATTCAATCTGCTTATGAATTTGACATTCGATATTGTAAAAGAAATGTTAATCTATTTTATTATAACAATTATTTATAAATATCGACTCATTACTTATCAATAGTATCTATTAAAAAGCAATTAATTTGTTAGATAATCAGATTGTGTCAAAGATTTGGCTGTATAATAAACTTGATTTGAGAAATTGTATATGAAATACTGATGCAATACTACGAAATATTTACAAACATCTGAAAATATATACATATATAAATATAGATAATAGATCGAATAAAAAAATAAGCATTGGCAATCTTTTTTACTTGAAACATGCGCATTTCGAATGAATTATTGCGTTTGGAAAAAACCAACATTTTGTGAGTGTATTTTGTTTACGTTTATATTATTCGCATGCATTTAACGAAAATATTACTCACAATAATATCGATTACAGTTAGTCAAAAAAATGAATGCTTTTTATAGATAAGTATATTTTACTGCTTTCATCGAGCAAACCACTAACAATCATGAAGTAAACTCAGTAGAGAAAATATAAGAGTAAAATATGTCATGCTTTTCTTTTTATCATTTTGCACAAAATTTTTTCTTTCTTTTTCTCTTATGTTAAAAATATATTTACTTTTTCTTGCGTATCGCATTTTTCTTTTATTTCAGACGTTTTGTCATTCATCAAATCTGATTGAAATTATTTTAGGAGGTATTTAAGGCAATATTATGATATCACATATAGGATTGCGAATCAGAGTAGATGTTGTGTCATAATGAAAATAATGACAGTAAAGAAAAAATTTTCGATACACTAACACCATTTTTCTTTTGACGTAGAAGTAGTTCGAAACACAGTATTTGGACGCTTATTAATTATTTATTTTTATTTTCATTTTGTGAAATAAGAATGCAAATATGAAAAATTCTATGTAGACAAAGAACAAAAACACATTCTTTCTTTAGTGTTTGATAGCTCTCAAGCCGTACTCAAGTCTACATGATTAACAAAGCTTTTGTCTTTCGTGATGAAAGAAAATTTATTCTTTATGATAGTTGTACCAATCAACGAGTAGGAAAAAACTTTAATCAGATGTTAAGGTACGTTTTGGTTTGCCTATAGCTGGAATATACCGACTGGTTTTGTATGTTGACGTATTTTTATCTCGTTCTTTTTGACTTTTTCTATTGTTTTTCTCTCTCGGTTTTGTTTATTCGCTGATGATTCATTGCTGTGCAGCATATATATATATGTTTTTTTGAATTTAGAGGTAATTGAAATTTAGAGATAAATAAATACGTATGGAAAAAGGAATTTCTTTAACTTGCACCGAAACAAGACAGTCATTAGATATAGATGAATTAGGGCCATTGCCAATGTGCCCAAAACAAAGTTTTACAACTGATGTATTACGTGGTCAATATCTCAAGTAAGGAATCGTTCTATCAAGCATTTTTGGGATTGCTCTAACTTATATACTTTCTAGGTCATGGAATTATCCTGTTGAAATGGATCCATGGACAGATTTATCTAAATGCATGAAATTTATAGCAAGAAATGGATGTACTGGAAAATGTCGACCTATTTGGATGCAGCGCACTCTAGATTGTATATCACGTACTGCAACACCAAAACAAATAGTTCATATTCTGAATGGCTATGCTGACTTATACAACCTCGAACTTAATATTATACAATTTACTGATGATCTTCCAATCTATAATAATGATATTCGTGCATATCGGGGAACTTCGAGCAAAATCAAACGACAGAAGCATCATCGTAATATTGTTTATATCATGTATGATTCTAAAAAATCCTTATTTGCTCCATGGTATGCCACGCATGCTGATGGTCGACCTCAAACATGTTTTGCTGCTGATGATGAAATTATTATGGATCATATAGTGAAATTAATTAAGGAACGAAATTTTGAGAGTAAGATTGCAAAATATGAACTAAAAAATATACTCTTTATGTCTTTGAAGTATCTCAAAATTCAGCTTCACAGACAGATCATATGATCGGCAATGATGATATTTCAACATATCGTGAAGAATCACAAAAAACAGATAATTTAGACGCTCGATTTCCTTCAAGATCAAGTAAATACTTTAATTTGAACGAGATAAAGTCAAAACATTGTACTATTGTTTTAGCTGTTCAAAATCAATTTGTTGTGATCAAACCCAAAGACAGCAAAAGTGATATTCATTATGATTCTCAAATTATTGTTCAATCGGATTCATATATTTTTTCGGAAGAAATTACGACAGATCCAAAAGGTAAGCTTTTTTTTCTTATCTAAAACCACAGCTTTATGTATTGCATAGATAAAAAGAAAAGTTTAATAGTTTGTTTATTGTATAAAAAAGCACTGTTTACCGTCTAATTAATACTCAACATTTCAAAATTATCAGTGTTTAGTTATCAAATTTGAAACTGAATACACTTTCAAATAATAAAGGCATCGAATGAGATACTAATAAACATTGTTCACAACTCGCTTATTGGCCACATAAATGCACAAAAAGTTGACCATTCCAATTTGCTTGTTGCGTAGGACAATATCTTCTCTGTTCATCTTATTCATACGTATGAGCAAGATGAAAATACCAGAGAGCGTCCTACGCAATGAATAAACTGGTATAGCAACTATTTTTGGATGTTCATGGTCAGCAAGTGAATCGTGAATAACACTTATTATCGAATAAAAACGACTATTCTATTTTGATTATTACAGATTCAATCGGTAATAATTTCAATTTATTATTTGGTACAGATTCAGGTGAAAAAGTATACGAACAATTTGAAAGCATGACAAAATGTTTGAATCAACTCCAACATCGTCATCGTAAGTTATTGTATAATTCAACGAGTACAACTTCTATTGTTTTCTTATTATATTAAATAGAACAAGTTGATGATACTACATCGATGGAAACAGATGATCGACAACTGTCGACTAATGAAATTTTGAAAGAAGGAGAATGGATTTCGAAAAACGTTATGACAAATACGGCCCAAAGTAAAACTGGCCACGCAAAAAATCATATTTGCTCTTCGAAAAATATTGTTTCCCATATTCCCATCTGTTTATTTCAAAGTACAACGAGACCAGCAACAATAATCAGGCCAGATGTTCGGATAAGCCATGGTTCAGTAGAAACTTATGATGCACCAAATGTGAAAAGACAGCCAAAACATCATCGACGTGTTCGCATGTTACAGGATGTAGCGAATAAGAAATGTCCACTTGTGCAAGCAGGTGAAGGCAAGAAACAAAGAAAGTATCCTGAGATAGAAGTAATTAATTATATGTTTTTACTCATACTAAAAATATCACCACTTTTTATTGAAGGTACCTAGTTACGGTGATGGCGTACAACTTTATGTTCGTGTTCGAGTTGTCACAGAAAATCGACATCGACATCCTTGCCAAACAGTTGTACCTGAAAATGTGCGTGTTGATTGGACATTAATGCAAGATAAAAATGAACGAAGTTGTTTACAGTGTAGTTCGGATAGTTTTGATCCAGTAACTGAATCTGTCTTTTTAATAATTACTGATGACGAACGAAAAACTCGTCGAAAAATGCAAGTATATATTTTATATCATTTATGTCACTTATCAATATTTTTAGGGTAAAAATTTATCTTTTCAATTGGAAACAGTATGGCCCATCAATGACAGAAATTATTGAACGTGAAAATCTTCGACTATGCAGACTTGAATTTCAATTATGTATACAAATTACTTCTAGTCAATATCAGCTTGTGTCACATCCTTCCTATACATCAGTCATTGAACTACGTAATGTGCATCTCGTAGCAAATTTTTATTTCTCAGTATAATACGCATTTTTCTAGAGGATGGAGATGTAACTATCGATTCAACTAAGATCGAACCAAAAGAATTATGTGAATTGGGCGGTGAAAACATTACTGTACCATTAAGTGTTATAAGTCGTAAAAAAGGTATGATTACAAATATGGATAAATATCAATTGGATTTAATTGAAAATTCTTCTAGATTTTCACATTGAATGCAATGAAATCAAGCTCAAGAATAAGGACTTCAAAATGGAACGAAAAAAATTATCAATAATATCACCAGCTAAAGTTGAAGAAAATGATGAGCTTCATCTAGTTATTATAAAAACAGATTTTGTTGAGGACAGTTCGTTACGAAAAAAGAATTATTTATTCGATGGCTATTTACCATACGTTGCTCATGGTAAGGATAAGTTTATAAGAATTATTGCGAATATTCTGTTTTTTTTGCAGGTAAACATGCACAAATTTGTTCACAACCTGTTCATGCTTCAACAGATAGATAAATATAATGAATGGTACTAATAGAATAGTTTATTCCGATAATGTATCAAAGAAAAATATTAAATTGAGTTTTTTAATTTTTGTTTTCAAATATTATGTAGTCATTTCTTATTGTATTTTGAAATCATTGTAAATAAAAAAAACTCGCTAGAAATAACACTAAACTAAGCTAACTTTCGAAAATATTAATTGCTTACTAATTTTTTAGATTTTTTTCGAGCTATTTACAATTTCATATCGGTTAACATCGATTTTATTTTGTTTCAAAGCAAAAGCATAATAGGAAACCGTCTGTATATTCTTTATTTAAGCTTTTCCTGCACATATGGATTTACATGATGTTCAAATACCGTCTTTTATTATGCATTTCTATTTTCTTTCATTATTAATACGATGAACGGTAAGTATGCTTTTTCCTTTTATGCCTTACGTTAACATGATTGTCTTAGAGGATAATAAAAAAATTTCTTCGCAATAGTAAATCTTATGACTTTGTTACTGCATGTACTCACGGGTATTTACACATGTAGTTGGAACGATGAGTCATTATATTCCGACTCGACATGTTTTTTTTCTATCCTTCGTTTATAGTAACATTCGTCAAAATAATCAAACGACAAAAATCAAATTACAATACTCAGTACTCCATTTGAGAGCATACGATTTGAGACAAAACTAAATAATCATGGAAAATGAATTTTTATCGAATCCTGATGAATTAATTAATAACAACAATCAACTAGATTCAACATTGTGCTTTCCTGCAAGTCATGATGTTTCTTTTGGCAACACAACAAAGTATTACTCTCTTTTATCATTTCATGTTATACAACTGACTTATATTTTCTAGTTCTACAGAAAGTCCTATTGGTGTGTGCTGGACACACGATTTACTTGATGGTGCCATATTTATTGTGTCAAATGGAACTTATCAAACCAACAACATTCCAAAAGATTGGCAACATCCAGTTGATTTGGTTACACGTACTTTTCATGATGTTACCAAATTCAAGGATAATTCTGAGAAATTTTTTCACGATTTGATTAAAGCCTATGGAAATCTTTATGATATCGATCTTCACTTAATTGTGTTTATTGATCATAAGCATACTATTATTGACAAAAAATTTTTCTACAAACTTAACAAAGAACAATACACTCGAGAAAAACATGCCTTTATTTGGTGTAATGCTGACAACACTTATTGTTCTCCCTGGTATTATAGAAAAAACATCAATGGAGAAATACTCACTGTCTTTAAAAGTGATGATATATTTTTTTGGCACTGTGTTGAAACACTAGTTAGCCAAATGAATCAACAAAGTGCGTTCTCTATCATTATACACATAATTTCAATACGATTTATATATTTTTTTTCAATTTATTAGTGAATGAAAACCACAATCAAGCAGAAAAACATTTGGAATTGTCTACAGAAGATCTTAGCTGTAAGGTTTATACTTGATAAATAGTTTACAATATCAAAGTATTTTAGATATGGCAGTTGACAATACTTCTGCATCAGAGAACCATTCAACTTCATGTATGTATCTTAGTCAATATAATCATCAATAATTTATTACTCCATATTGTTTAGTCGATCAACAATCTGGAACTTCATTGGGAGCCTCTGCTTGCATTGAACAATTGCTCCAGGAAATCAATCAATTAAAGAATAATCTTGGACCATGGCTCAATGAAATTTTTGTACAAAACCAAGAACCAGGTATACTGCCAAAGATTGTGAACAAGAAATTTCAGTTTTTATTTTCTCTGAAGATTTTAATATCACTAATCTCAATTCCATATCTCCTAAAGCTTCGGCTGAACTTTTACAGCAACGGCTATTGTTTTTATCACAGATAATTCAAAGCGCAGTTGAGCGAATTCCACGTAAATATTCAAGGTACGCATTATTATTAATCATCATTTATCTGTTCTATTTTTAGAAAGTAATAGTACCCCTATCGTTTCCAATACAGTTGTTGCAAACAATGATCAACATGTTAACACAGGTGAATATCAAAAATAAAGTATTTCGATAGGAACTTGCTTCCTCTCTTTAGTTCAACTTCATAATACACATTATGTCGAACAAATTGACCAAAGTTCTGTTAACATCTCACATACCGTCCCAAGTACCTTATCAAACTCAAACACTACTGAAAATTTTCCAATTCTTTCAGCATCAACATTAGCATTAGTTCAATGTGAAGCACCAGAGATTCTCAATCAGCCAAAAAAAGAATGGCACTACCGAAACATGAAAGATCTTGCGAAAAATCAAATTCCTCTTTTAGCTGGTGATGGTTCTCAACGTAAATTGACACGCGTAAAAGTAAAATATTACTTATATTCAACGAAAATTTCAATGGAAACAAAAAACATTCGTATTATTTTCAGGTTCCTCCCCAAGGCACTTATTCAATGTATCTGGGTATTAAGGTGCAAACTCATGATAATCGTGAACATCGTTCAAAAATACCTGTCCCTCAAGGTACCACTGTCAGTATGGACTTATTTTCTAATGACAACAATCTCGATCGTCTACAATTCGATCGATGTGATTCAACAGATTATTTCGATCGAGAACATGCATATGTTTATTCAAAAATTAGTTTGGAAGAACATGAAGCTGGTGAAAAAGAGTAAGTTATAATTATTGCTTAATTTAATCATTAATATGCTACACGATTAACTCAGTGTACGAATACATATCTTCAACTTGTATCAAAGTGGTTCAATAACTAAAACACTGATCAATACTGAACAATTGGGAAAATTCAAATTAGCTTTTTGGTTCAATATTTTCGAAAATAACGAATATAGAGCTATTTCAACATCAACATCATCTTGTATCATAGAAGAAAGTCAGTTATAGTTTTTATCTCTTATATCTATTTTGTTGATTCACCTTTCAAGTATAAATCATCATTTGTTTTCTAGCAAAAAAAAAATAAGCTAACATACCTGTAACAAAATATCGACGTATGTAACACGACATTGGACAAGACGGCGAGTTTTTATACGACATGTTGTTTTCTTCCAACTTACGAATCAGCTTCCTTCCCACATGATTCAGAACTAATGAAGATATTATTGATGACGTCATTTCATAATCTTTTATTGGAACTTGTTCTTCCTTTCTGTTGTTAATATAATGTTTTTCTTTTATTACTTAATAATAAAAACCTGCCTGAATAAAAATAGTTTTTTGTTAACCATAAACTTATAGTATAAATAATAGAAAACCAAATCTATAAAATATTTCGCTACTTGCGAACATAATTTAACATTTAGTAAATTGTATAACTATAACTTGTAAAAGAATATCAGAAAATATATTATGAATACAATCTGACTTGTCTTTTAACGGTTGAAATAATGGAAAACTTTTCTGATAGAGATAGTGAATACTTATTTATTTATCCGAACAAATTATTTGAGTTTATATTCATTAATAAATTCATATTACTTCAAAAGAAAAGCCAAGCAATAAAGGCGTCTTTATCAATCTTAGCAGAGATTATCTTTTATTCGGGAAGTTGATGAAATTCTTTCAGATATATGTACCACGTCGTTTTTTTCTTAAGCTATGGATTGATATTGTTTGGAATATCAATTATATAAAACTAAATAAGCCTTCTTGCTTTCAATATTGAAATTACAGCTGCAATTGGTAAGATGGTTTTCTTATTGGTACTGATCTTAAATGGTCAGATCGAACCGGCTGGCAGATCAACATAACTCATTCTTTACTTTTCTCATCTTATAACAGTGACATTATAACCTTCCAATTAGTCATGCCTTTGTCTGAATCACTACAGAAATTACGTAAGGCTTTTGTATCACTATTATTGTGTTTTTGTGCAATATGGATGTCAATAAATATTAAAATATATAGTGAGCCAATGGAACCCATGTTCCCCAATTTACTGCAAAGATCGCGAAAAACATGGCGATATTCTTCTAACCTACTAACAGTCTGAGACAGAAATGTCCATATGTGTATGTCACGGTATGGACTATAGATGATGAGGCATCCGATGATGGTTAAAGTAGCTTCGTCATGTTTTATATTATAATCCGGTAGGTATTGTACTGAAACTTTTTTTTTTCGCTATCAATTCCATTAATTAAATGTTCGTTTGACACAGAAATTATAAATCAATGGTGCATTTATACTGTTTCTAACGTCTCTGCGAAAAATAAGCTACAAATAATATGAAATGAAAATAACTGTGTACTAAATTAGAAGAATTCTTTTGTGCTTCGATAAAATATGCATTGATATTGAAATGAATTGATAAAATATATCAAGCATATTTGATGCACATTCAGTTAATAGAAATATTCTAATACATATTCTTCCATCCAAATAATTATTATCATCAGCAAAAATCGTTTGATTTGCGAAAAACCAACATGTTTGCTACATACAATCACAGTTTACTAGATTGACTATGATAAATATAACATAGTAAATTTTACACAGTGATATTTTAATTGAATCAGACAAAACAATGAATAACAGATTTCATCTTTAACAATGATTTGATCAAATATGTGTCACAGAAAATTTATTCTACTTATAAATAGTTGAAATTGATCACTAATGATGTTTATTTATTCTGTTTTATCTTTATCAATATAAAAGTAGTATTTTTTTATTTTCTTAGTAAAACGAATAAAATATTAGAATAAATTGCACTTATATCTCTTTATCTACGTGCCTTTTCAGAGCATATAAGGAAACAACAAACACAAGATGAAACATGAAATCGAATTCCTCATAATCAATTACACTGAAACTTATTTTATTTCTTCTTGTGTATCATCATTATTTTCGTTATTTATTTCGACTTTTCTATTCTCTGTTATAGTATACAAGTTAGAAAGGAAAAGAGCCATATTTTAGTTATCATGATAGAAACATACAATAAGACTCTGATTACGAAACCAGAGTCCCTTATTCTCAAGAGATGGATCATTCAAATCTTATGAGTATTATAAAAATCGATATAGTACCGTCTCACACTACTTTTTTATCGAGTCCGACAAACATTCACGTCATTTCAACAGATCGTTGTTCAACTTTGTAAGATGTTCCATTTTTCAGCCAAGAGCTTGCTCATATTTCTGTCCATTTAATAAGAATTAATATTGTTTCATTTATATGCTGTGAATAAATCCATACCGAGAAGAAATCTAACAAAATAATATGATTGTATGACTAAGTCCTATTCCACAGTTCTTGGACAGGTATCTACAAGTGGTAAATATGCAAACGCATTTCTGAGATGGCGAAAGAAATTGTTTTCTTCACTACTAGAAAACATAGAACACAAAAGAAGTTAAACATATTAAACAGAACTATAATTGACTAGTGAGATAAACAATGAGCTAATATATCCAATTTGTTACATTGTTTATTTTGTGCTCAGATCAGACATAGTGAGCTGCGATTATGTTTGAAAATTATAACCAAAACCTATAACATAATATAAAACTAAAACTAAATATTTTATTTTATATTGATTTTATTTAATCTATAATGCATCTTTCTGTTGTATTTATATTCTTTGTTGTTCGTTGTCAAAAGCCTTCCAGTCCCATACTGTTCATGTCCTTATGAATAAACATAAAATGGAAAATTACGATTCATTAATTCTTAGAAAATCATCGAATGAAATTCAAATATTAACTGAAGCTTTGATTATTTCAGAGTAAATATCTCATCAAAGCAGAATTAGATATTCATGTGCAGGAATAACTCCAACAATGGAATTTTAAGATTATACAATAGTCGAAACAAGGGCGTCCCGACTAGACATCGGCGTGACCAACAATTTTTGGTCACGGTCACGACAAGTTTGGTAACGGTCACGCACGGTCACGGTCGTGCTATGATCGTGACCGAGACCGTGAGTCACGGAAATTCTATGGTTTGTATAAGTATGATATCTTTCTGTCGCCTATATACATATGTATTGTACAGATAGGCCTGTTTTACACTACGTAGTAATGGATTTAGGAGAGAAGCAATAGAGCAATCGCCTCCTTTCCCTTCCCCCCCCCCCCCCCCCCCTTTCGAGACAATTTCCCCGGTTGTCTCGAAAAAACAAACGAAAAATGAGTTGATACTATCTTGGATGATTCCTAAAAAGGGATTTTTATCCAAAATCGCCCTGATCGTTGAAAATCCTAGATCCTCCACTGACACTACGAAAACGAATATTTATTTAATTCCGTTTTGAAACAGTGAGGGGGTTCAACAGGACGATTGCACTTCATTCGAAAGGATTTTTTCGATTTTATCCAACAAAAACGAACGAAAAACATCTTCATACTATTTCAAATGCATGTTAAAATATGTTTTTTTGCGTGTGATTTCATCTCCTTCCAAAATCGTAGATTCACCATTGTTTTAAAAGTGTATTAACCCTTAAAAGCCCGAGGAGATTTTTCTTGCAACAGAAGAAAAACAAACATAAAAACAGAGCTGGTGGACCCTCAGTATGCTCATACTATAGCTAAAACGAAGTACCTTGTTCTTCCTCTAGAGTTACACAACGTCCTTTAGCAGAAATTTTGGACCTTCTAAAAACCTGAAAGAAACGAATTTCTATCTGAAATTTCGTTTTTAATCAGTTTATATAATCCTCAAACTGTCCTGAAATGTTCAGTCAAAACAGGTGCTTTATTGTTGAAATATTGAACGTAGAAAAAGAATCGGCAACATTTTGCAAAAACCTCATAAAATCCGACTTCTATTCAATATGCCGTATCTTCAAGAGTAAACAACAGTTGTTGCTGAAAATTTCAGGATAATCTAAATAGCGTATCAGCTATTTATGAGGAAAATTTCAAGTCAAAATTCCTTTTCTTCGACTTTTTCTTGAGGCGGAATATCCCAAAGAAGAAATTTTTTCTTTATGATAGTGTCCTGCGTTAGTGGAATGGTTTAAAATTTACGAGATGGTTTCATCAGATACCTTAGCACTATATTTAACAATATCACTTAAAAAAAACAACGCGGCACGTCGCTTATATGAATAATAAAAACTTCAGAAAAGAAAAGTGGTGCTAAAAAAATTACGAGGCGTAAAAGGTTCATTCTTTCGCTTAAGAGCCACTTGAGAATTAGATTTTCATCTCTGTACGATTACTAAGGTCATGTCATTTCAGAAAAATGTTGGTTTTTGTATATAAGCTCTTGGAGTGGAATTTATCGGAAATATTCTAATGTCCCTTGGAAGGTACATTGGGCTCGTAAGGGTTAAGCTAATAGTATTAACTTAATACACTTTTTTAAAACCGCATTAAAGTTAAATCGCCATTCAAAATTAAGCTCGATTTGTATGCTTCAATTGAACTTGACAAAGTGACACTTCATTATACACTTTGATTGATGCATTTACTTATAAGTGGAAATATCCATCATTTTAATATGGAGCTACTACCATATTATTTTTTTTTAGTGTAGATGAGGTCATAAAACGCTGAGTAAATGTTGTTTCTATTTATGAAAATATAATATAATGACTATTGGTGGTGTGAAAAAAAGAAAAGAAAGGGATTTACAATCAGATATAACAAAATATATCTAATTTTTAGATTGATTGTAGAATTTAAGCACTCTCAAACAAAAT